TAGTAAAGGTATCATGGACTTCCAGAAGAGTGAACAAATCTGCATTGGAAGAAGTACAACCAGAATGCTCCTTAGCAGCCACGATGGCCAGACATCGTTTCTCATACCTTGGACATATTATCAGCAGGGATCAGTCCCTGGAGAAGGGCATCATGCTTTGTGAAGTGGAGGGACAGTGAAAAAGAGGAAGACTCCAGATTTGCGGGATTGGCACAGTGGCAGCAGTAACAGGCTCAAGTGTAGCAGCAACTATGAGGATGGTGCAGGACCAAGCAGTATTTCATTCTGTTGTACATGGAGTCGTAATGAGTCAGAGCCGACCTGATGACTCTTAACAACAACAACAGCAAAGTTATACTATTTATATTTATGACATTGATTTATAGTTTAGAAGAGGCTGTATAACTTCAGGAATAGGGCCCAGTGACATACCACCATCACACTTGCACACTGTCCCCTCTAGACACATACACTTAGTTGTGCGATGTCAGGAATCCAGGCAGATCTAAGCTCAGCACTGGAAGCCATTTGCTCTTAGGACAATTATATATATATATATATATATATATATATATATATTTGCATTTAAGGGAGAAAAAGTTATTTCATATGTTCAGCCAGTAAAGATTGATTTCCTCTTACACCTATTTTACACTGAGTGGCATCGGGATGAACCTAATAGGCAGTCCAGGAAGCAGGGGTAGAGATGGCTGCTTAGGCTTTGAAGCAGGTAACCATGGACATTTCTGACATTGTCTGTGGTCATGGTAAGGTATTAGACATGCTACCTCTCCTTCCTGAGACTGTGTCTCTGCAGGCACCAGATGGGTAGTAAGTTGTAAGGATGATGCTATATCTAAATGACATGAGTCTGTGACGATGCTAGTGCCCTCCCCGACTGAGTGGTGTCGGTCCATCCATATACCACGTCCCACATCCCCGTGTTAGTAAGGCATAACCAGGAAAGAAGGCCACCTCTTGGCCCCTCCCACCGCTCACATTAGTATAGATCCCTGCTCATGGTAGAAACCAGAGGAGGGTCTCTCAGTCTGCCCTCCCACCCCGGTCCATCAGAATTGAAGACTCAGAGGGAGGAGCTCTAGGCATTTGGGGTGACCTAGAAACTTGTACAGAAAATTCACATTCCAGAAAGAATCGGATAGAACTCTTTTGCCTTATTAAAGCTAGAAAGGAAGTGGTCAAATGAGGAAAAAACTTGAGGGAGAGTAAAGGAGCTCTGGTAGCGTAGTGGTTACGAATTGGGTTGTGAACTTCAAGGTCAGCAGTATTGAAACTACCATATTGCTGGGAGAAAGATGAGGCTTTCTGCTCCCGTAAAGATTTACAGCCTCTGAAACCCTATACTGGGTCGCTATGAGTCAGAACTGACTCCACAGCAAATAACCACTACCAATAAAGGAAAAATGAGACACTAATGTTGTGAAGAAAGAGACTTAACAGCCTTACCAAGTCCCAATATTTTTATTTATTTTATTATTGATTTATACCCTGTCTTGTTCCCAAAAGGCATGAAACATGGCAAAACAAACATTAAGCTTTCAGAGAAATTTGAGACAGCCCCGCTACCCACAGCAACATGAAAAGAATCATGCAGTCTCACAGTCTTACATACCATTCCTAGGGGGATTAGACAGCATACACGTGTGTGTCTAAGGAATCTCCTCACCTTACCTGCTCTGTGGACAGACTTCTGTCAGTAGGAAGGGCCGCATGACCAGTAGGCAGGGTCCTGAGAGCAGTTTCTCATACATGTGTCCCAGGAGACTGGGAGCACCACTGCAGAGATCCTGAGCACTCCATGTGGGTTCTTCACTGATGTCTCCAGGTCCATATTACAGGTTCTGGACACTCCTTCCTCAGTTTCGGCTGCTTTTCTCCCAAAGGCAGGCATTGCAACTTTTTCAGAGGCTGCCCTGGTGCCACCGTGGCTGCCCTTGTAGACAGCAAAGTGGTTAGAAGTTCATACCCACCCAGCAGGACCTGGTGTTGGGAGCATGAGGGTTCAAAGTTCCCTCACAGGAACAGGATGAGGTTGAGATGATTGGATCCTCACGCTCCTGCTCTTCCTTCCCAGTCTCTCCTGGGGCATTTCCTCATCGATTCATTGCTGGTGGACCATGACTTTACAAGACCAATAAGGACACATGCCTTGTGTGTCTTCTCCGTTTACAGCCTACTCTCAGAGAACATGCTCACACCTCAGTTTCCTCTAAGACTGGGAACCATGTCTTCTCTTGGGCCACAGCTGGGAATGTAAGATATTATATCTAAATGACAGGAGTCTGTGGCGATGCTAGGGATTCTGTTACACCCTTGCTCCAAACTGGGTCCAGATTCTCTTTCAGAAATGTCAGTCAACTAACTTCAGGTTCTACGACTTTGAGGAGGTGTAAACTCTGGAATAATGGAGCTTGGTGGCTCAGTGGTAGAATTCTCACTTTGATGCAGGAAATCAGGTTTGATTCCCAGACAATACACCTTAGGTAACCACCACTTACATGAACAAGTTTTAGGAGCACTTTCAGACCAAGGCAGACTAAGAAGAAAGGGCTGGGAATCTTACTTCCAAAAGTCAGTCACTGAAAATCATAAGATCCACAGGGTTGGATAAACTGCAAGCCAATTCGATGATAGCCAATGACAACATTCTGAGGCCAGAGCTGCTGCTGAGGCAATGGGTAGCCAGAGTACGAACATGCACAGATGAAAACAGATAGAAGTATCTTGCAAACCCATCTACCTAATTGCATATGTTGAATGTTATCCTGCTTGAACAAGCTCAAGTACAGATCTCTGACACCCAATGTCTCAGACACAGTCCAAGGGATTTCCTCTCTGAGGCTTGGGATGAGAGGGAACCCTTGGAGTCACTGTGCCTGCCTAGGGCTGTGTCCCGCTTTGACACAACCTAAAGATGAGCATTGGAGGGGCAAAGTGGGTGAGGTAGGAACCTATAAGGAGCAGCTGGGTTCCTGGAGGGTTGGGACAAGGACAAGAATGTGTGGAGATGGCCTGTGGAGCCCCTGGGAGGAGGCTGTGTCTCCCAGAAATAATCTTTACAGACTGGGATTGATCAACATTTCAGAATGGATAACATTTGGTTTCTCAAGGTTTCACTGCACTTTTAATTTATTGGCTTTCCATAATAGCACCCAACATACAAATCTATAATATAGAAAGTATAATTTACAAAAATATAAAATTTTGGTTATTTTTTAGTATTCCAACATATGACTGTGTGTGCTATTACAATATGCATGTTTAAACAACTCAGACTTCGCCAACAGTATCATCTCTGTGGGGAGTAGTATTCATTCCTTTTTGTGGCAAAATAAAATATATATTAAGAAACAGAAACCACCATTGGCTGTATGTATGAAAGCATGAACAGTGTTGCTTGAAGGAAAACAGGACCTTATGCCATGATTCAGGACCCGTTCCTAGTATTAGCGTGCACCCTGGAGTGTTGTCAACTGCACATTTACAGAGAGGTTCTTTCCACATGACGGTTGTGAATGCCCTATGGTTTGCATAGTCTTCTCCCCAGGTTAGTAGATAGTGATCCCAAAAAGCCAGCACAAAAACACATTTAGTTTTCCATGGGCACAGATGGGCAATCCACAGGCAGTATTGATTTTTAGATTCCTTCAGATAGGTGATAAGTCACTAGATTAAAAAAAAAAACCACAACACCCCAGGATGCTGCCCCAATGGGCAAATCCTTCTGGGACCTGGTGGTATTGTCTGCATGCTCTGCCATATGTGTTCAGCTGCACCCCTATCCAGTCCTGACTCTGGAAGGTTCTGAGAGCAGTGCTCTGTTGGTGTGGGTTGGGACTGAGGTTTCCTTGCACTTGGAGCAACTACTCTTACCGGCAGGCACAGGTCTCCACAGACATGTTGGGGTATACCTTCAGAACCACATTCTGGTTCTCATCCAGGAAAAGGACCCCCAGGGAGTTCATCTTATCAGGAACGCAGCAGGGCTTTGGGATGCCTGGGACGATGCCCACAGCCCTTACAATACTCTGGATGGTGGCATGGTTGGAAGGGCGGACAATCTGCAAGGCAAGGAAGGAACATAAGTATCACACTGCAACACTCACTTTCTAAAGACAACAGATTATGTTTCTGCTATTCCATGGCTGAGGTCATTGACTAGAAGAAAAGTCAATACACTGACTAGAAGAAAGGCAAAATCCTGGCCTCGTACACATTTCCTCTGGGGTCAGCCACAGACAGAGTCCCCTGGGAGTCTACTGTACGAGGTTTTGGCATTGAGGAGACTGTACCCACTGCCTGGCACTGGCCATTTGAGGGTGCTTTTGCTTACTGCATTCCCCAGGTTCTAGATCTATAAGTTCTATCAAGACTGGCTAAAGAAGGTGCCCAGCACTCACCCTGGGATCACGGCTGTCTAGCGATTTAACCTGCGTTTAAGGGGGCCAGGTAGCACTTCTCAAGTAGGGTTCTGTGCCAGTAGTAATGGGTTGAAAACTGTTATTTCCTAGCCATCTGACTTTAGAGTGTCAGTCACATTGTTTCACACTTTCATCTTATCGACCTGATGGGAGGAACATCATTGTCGTTTTATTGTTGCTGGTAAGTGCTGTCAAGTCGGTTCTGACTCATACCCACCGTATCAGAACAGAACAAAACACTGCCCAGTCCTGTGCCCACCTCACAACTGTTGCTATGCTTGAGCCCACTGCTACTGCTACTGTGCCAAATCCATCTCATTGGGGGCCTCCCTCTTTTTCGTTGACCCTCCACTTTACCAAGCATGATGTCCTTCTCCATGGACTGCTCCCTCCTGATACTATGTCTGGAGTATGAGAGACAAAATCTTCCTGTCTTCTAAAGTCTTCGCCATCCTGGCTTCTAAGGAGCATTCTGGCTATACTTCTTGTATATTCATGAATGTATATTCATCTGGCTATACATTCTGGCTATACTTCTTGTATATTCATGAATG